TAATGTGCACTATTTCTGGCAGTCTGCTTAGGCCTTTAGTTAATTATCTGCCCTATCTGATCAAATCAAAACAAAGGCACCAACGGTACCCCATTTATGTCAACAATCCTCTCCTCCAATCAGATTATTGAAGATAATATAAACAAACCATGTATAGCTGGATCTTGGCTTTTGGCTGCATTCCATCAGATTACATCAATCATTGTACCTGCTAGGGTGTTATTATCAGTCAAGTTTGCTGGACATTCTGTTATCTTGTTTACTATTGAGTAGGTGTTCTACCTGGAACTACGATGTCATTGGTTCACAGTAATACACACTCTTTAATAATAAGGCTTTCTGTTTTCTATCTTAGACCTTATATTTTATGTCTCTCCTGAACCTTTTATGTTTTGGGAGCTTAAATTTAGCAGATTTGAGCCCAAATCAGTGCTCAGCCTATGTCAGATATAATCCAAGGAAAAGATGAAATTTCTGCAGCTATCTCTTCTGCATAACTTTTAAAGGTATAATCATCCTACTCTGATGTACCTGCAACCATTTTGGATGATTGCTATCATTTCAAATTAATTGTTCTATCACAATAAAGTACTCTGCTTATTCATTTTATTTATTGTTTGTGTGGCCATTTATGCATTCCCCCCTCCAGAGGAAATGGATAATGAAAAACAGAGGGCATTAATTTGTATAAAATTTGCATAGGTTAATTTTGATATGGATGCATATTTACAAATAAACATTATAAATGAAATAAAAATGCAATATATCTCACCATAGTGGAGAATACTGTGATCAAATGTTTTGTTTGTTTGTTTAGTCAGCTATCTGGCTGCTAACACCTGATGGGTAACTTCAAGGACACTGCTCTCCTTTCTTTTAGTTCTAATTTTACATTTATTTATGAAAATAGTTATACCCCACCCTATATCAGGAGATCTCAGGGCAGCATACAAATATCATTTAAGCAGGTTAGAAACAGTTAGGAAGTATAAATAAGCTAAAAATATATTAAACAACTTAGGGCCTTTGCAGACTGCTCGAAATAGTGCAAATTGACTTAAACATAGTTTAAAAAAGTTTTTAACTACAAATAAGAGTCTTGGGGGTTCAGATGGTGAAAATAATCCAGGATAAATCTGGGTTGAATTTTTGTTGTTCACATGCATCTTTACCCAATTAAGTGGGGGGGGGCTACCAAACCCCCCACTCAATCCAGGATAATTGATATTGGGGTTCCCCCCTGAATTTTAAAAAAAGATCTACCTCATTGGTACTGTGAATAACGGATGTGAATAGACCTGCATAGATCTGGGATAAAACTCTGCATGCCTTGTAGTGTTCTGAATGCATTCACATTATCAACTCCATTTTTATTTGAATGCTTGCACATGTAAACAATGGAACTTGCAGAGATGTGCATTGATGCAGTTCCATAGTGTGAATAATAAATCTGAAATGCATGAGTGAGATGATTCGCATTGTAGTGCTAAAAACAACAATGTCTGAATGAACCCTTGGGTTGAATTAATGTGGCCCAAAGGCTTTTGGCAAACACTCAAGTTTTAATTTGGTGCCTAAATGATGAGCATTTTGGCACCAGTTGGGCCTCCAGGGGGAGAACAATCCACAGTTGTGGTGCCACAGCTATCCCATGACCCAACACAGAGTTTTAACCTCATTGGTGGGATATAGAGGAGCTCTCCCAGTAGATCTTAATCCTCAGGCAGGCACATATGAGGATAGGTGCTCCTTAAAGTATTGAGATCCCAAGCTGTTTAAGGCTTTAAATGTCATCACAAATGCCTTGACTTAAGACTGGAAACATTGTTAGCCAGTGGTCTGGCTAGAAATAATTTTATTATTTATTTATTTATTTATTTATTTATTTATTTATAGGATGGGTTCCATGCTAAATAGTCCTTTCAACTTTTCAAAAGCCTCCTGACACTCTGGAGTCCACTTGATTTTGTTGGATTGCTTGAGCTTTTCAATGGGCCATCCTGGGTGGATTTTGGTCTTTAGCAAGTCCATGATGGGCTGTGCTATCTGGGCAAAGTCCAGAATAAACTGTCTATAAAAGTTAGCAACCTCCAGGAAACTCTGTGCCTGTTTTTGGTGGAGCCCACTCTAATACTGTCTGTACCTTGGCTGGGTCCATCTCTATTCCCTGGGTAGACACTTGATATCCCAGGAAATCTAACTTGTCGGTATGGAATTAGCATTTGGGGAGCTTAACATACGATTGTCCAAGAGATGCTTCAACACCTCCCTCACCAACTTCACATGGGATTTCAGGTCTTGGGAATAGATCAATACATCATCCAGACAGACCAGGACACCCTCAAACAGCAAATCATGCAGAACTTCATTCACAAGTTGCATAAAAACGCCGCACCCCAATATTCCAAAGGGGAGGACCAAATATTCAAAAGTACCCAAAGGGCAGTTGAATGCCATCTTGTATTCATCTCCTTCCCAGATCTGCACTCAATAGTAGGCATTCCTCATGTCCAGCTTGGTAAAAGTCCTGCCCATGACCAGTCTCCCTAGCATGTCTTTCATGAGAGGGATGGGATATTTGTTGGTACTACATATCCCATTGAGGTTCTTATAGTCTGTAACTAGTCATAGGGACCCATCCTTCTTCTCTCAGAAGAACACACGGACCCAAAAGATACAGGTCAATGGGCAGATGAAGCCTCTAGCCAAGTTCTTTTCTATAAAGTCCTTTAAAATCCTCATCTCTTAGACTTGGGGGACTGCATTCCGGGCACCAGTTCAGTAGTGCAGTCTGTCTCCTGGTGGGGTGGGAGCTGGCTGCACTCCTTTTCCTCAAACACCTCTTCCAAATATATACCAGGGGATAGCTCCACTGGTCCTCCGTGATGGCGCTTCCCACCCACTCTTGCAATGATTCAGGTTGGATCAAGGCTGCCACTGTGCTCTTTTCCCCATTTGTATTAGTGCCCTTGGTGTAGGTTCTACATCCCAGATTGTCAAAGATCAGTTCTCCTGACCCCTACTGTATCCTGGGATTATGGAAATAGAGCCAGTCTATTCCCAGGATCACTTGGTAGCATGAGGTGGGGCCAAAAACAAAATGGATTTTCTCCCAGTGTTCTGCCACCCCAAGCCAAACTGTCTCAGTTCTCTCACTAGCGGTCTTTACCCCCCATGGCAGAACTATCCATCTGATGAAAGGTGATGGAGTGCCCCAGCTATTGGGTGTCAAGCCTCATCTTCCCACTATTTTGGGGCAGACGAAGCATCGAGTACACCCCAAGTCTATGGCCGCCACCAGGTTCATACTCTCCCCCCTCGTCTGGTCCTCCACCTTGACATCTAGGGTATATAAGGGGACCCTACCACTCACTCTTGAAGTACAGCACTGTGGATTCATGGCTGGCCTCCTGCCGTTGCCTGAGGCTGGCCGTGGAAATTTTCTGCCAGCTCAGCATTGTCCTCTGAGTCTGCCATGTCCAACATTACTTCTGGCTCTGTGTCATCTCAGCTTGCCGCCTTGAGTGCCTGGCCACCCAGTCCCTTGTTGGTGCACCATTGATCTCCCTTCAGAGA